GTGGAGTATAGTGTGAATTTTAAATTTATCAATTTTATAATGTAATTATTATTAGATATTTTAATACTTTTAAAATCAAAACATTTTAATTTTCCTTTTTCCCTTTAAAAAAAATTACGTGACACTAATCGTTCCTAACGACGGCCTCGCGCGACTGTAAATTGGTCGTCTCGAGCGAGCATATCGGGAGCCTAGTCGCGCGTGACAAATTTGAGTTGATTTAAACTTCTTCCAGTTCTATCTCTATATATATTAGCCAGGACCAAGGTTCGGTGGAGTAGACAAAAATGAAAATGGAGAGAACCACCATAGGGATGACGGGTAAAGTGGTGCTTCTGATCATCTTGATAATTGCCATCTTGAATGGAGTTTGTAGCAGACCGGTCAGGCAAGCAAGAGCTTCTGGCCCGCCTTCTGGGCCATGTACACGTAATTGCACTTACGTACCCAGTCCCGGTGTTGGCAATTAACGGTGGCCCCCCTTGTAAAATTCATAGGTGATGCTTGTTTTTTTATGTTTATTCGATCTGTGTTAATTTATTTCAAGGTTCCCCTATGTTTGCTGGCAATTACTGTATATATTTCCTGGATGTGTTGAAGTAGAATGCTATCGTTTGTTTTCGTTTCTTTTCTTTTCTTGGTAACTAGTACAATGTTATAGCCTCTTTTCTTTGCTGTAAAGAGAATTGTTTATTTTGTTGATCGAGATTATGCTTAAGTTGATCAATCTTTGCTGCCAGACATAGCAAAACTTGATTAATTTGGGTGTTTTCACATTTTTAAAGTCTTACTTTCATTTTTTTATATCATGTCTTTTAATTTATCTATACAAAAATTAAAGAATAATTTATTTATACAAAAAATGAAAAAATAATAATTTATCTAAAATAAACTTAAATTTATGAAAAATTAAACTTTTTGAATCCAAATGATTCATCCCAAATTTTAAAATATTTGAATTAATTAATTAAAGTTTCAAAATTCATCAACACCTTGAAAAATCCCATCTTCTTTGCCTGCCTGCCTTTGAGTTGACAAAATTGTTTGCCAAAACAAACTTATTATAATAAACAACAGAGGATTTAAGGGTAATTATAGACATTTTGCAATAGCAGAGAACGAGAGGCACAGACGCCCACTTAATTTCTCGTTACGTTCGAAAACGCGTCACTGCTTTTAACCAATCGCTCCATTCAATCGCTCCATTCAATCGCTCGATTCTCGATTCTCCCTCCCTTTCGAAATCTTCTTGATTTTCTTTTCACTCAAATTTTTTATAATTCAAGTAAAATATTTATTTGCATTTCGATCTCAAGATCTAATGATTTCAAACTCAATTATAAGATATATCCCTTTAGGCTTAAAGTTAAAGTTCGAACTCCAATTATAAATCGTTTAAAAAAATATATTTATCTAAATAAATAAAATATTCATAAATAATGGGTAGAGCCGTAACCGATGCTCACCCCTAAACGACACAATTTGTAGACACATGTGGAATTAGTTGGGCCAAAAAAACCCGGAACACTCTTGTATTCTTTAAAAATAAATAATCTAATTCGA